AGTACGGTGGGCTCGCTGCGATGCTGGTTCCCGGTGGGGCCCAGGAGCCATTTTTCGCGCTGGTGACATTTGGAGGACGCTGTGCCAAGACCCGGCAATCTCCGCCAACCTTCTCTGCACTGCATCAGCGCCACGCGACTTGCCCTCGATATTTACTAAAAATTTCACGATAATACTCGGATGGTGGCGGCGTCCTCTAGCGTCATTCCAACACCTTGATTGCGGGCTTAGTATACCAGTGTCCGCGCGTACGGTACTCATGTTGGCACGAGCGATTGCTTCCCCTTCGCTAAAGCTTAAAAACGATACAAGTCACGCCGCCAGACTCTTAGTATTGTTTTGGAACAACGCTTCATTGACCCCGGAAAAGTTCAGACTTCGCTCCACATTGGCAGCCGAAAGCTGATTGCTCACCCAGGTAAACCCGTCTACTTACATACTCAAAAATCACGCTGTAATTAGCAGACTGACATTTCCACCCCGTCATACGGGCCTTATAAAAACAAATAAGCTACCCATTCCCAGGCAAAGAAAGGTAACACACCATCATGGTTGCTTATGCTGCCTTCGAAGATATTGGAGACGTCTCCGGTAGAGCACAGATCACTGGGATTGTCTTCTCCTGCACAGATTCAAATGGCTATTCAATCATGATAATATGCTACTCGTTCGAGGATCCTTACCTGGACAAGAGTCCCAAGCGCCAGAGTCCTGTTGACCTGTCAGACGCGATAAATATAGACAGACAAGTATGAAAAGGACCTGAATGTGGATTTCTCCAGTGGGATGGTGAAAACCGAGGAACATCCCTATTGAAGCATGAAATAAGACAAGAATACGCCTTCAAAGGGTCGTGGCGCACCTGGGAGAATAGGAACAACGTCCTCCCTTCGAAGACATCAGCTCATGGGTGAAAACATCAAGAATGGTGCGAACTGGTTGTTGATGTGAGTCACTGTGTTTCCGATGCTCGCATGGTCAGCAAACGCTTGATTTCCCACCTGCATACGACTGTTAACATCATTCTTGAGATGATATCTCACGCACCCTGGGCAGACCGTAAACAATGGTCTGGAAGGTCACACCAGAGATGTGAAGAGGAAGGTAGACTGAGTCGAGAAGAGCGAGGGCAGCACCTATATCGAGGTGGATGTGAGCTTCACGAGTACTGCTTCTTTTCAAATTATCTCTAACCTAGACTGTGGCCAACCATGGTCACTTTCTTGGCTCCGAACTTGGATATGCCAGCCTGCACAGCGGCAAGAACTTCTGTTGCGGTCCTGTAGTCCACGTTAAGTCGTGAAACAGAACTGCTAGTAATTATCGCCTACTTGGCATGCTCCGCTGCAAAACCGTTGTGCACCTCAATGGAGGAGCTCAAGCCAGGGAATAGGGTCGGGTCCAAGCTTTCCAAGAAAAAGTCCGAGTCTGTGACCAAAGCGAGGCTGAGAATATGTCAGGAAACACATTGCAAACAGAATTTGTTCAACTTACATCTGGGTCGGATCCGTTCCTTGATGCCCTGCGATGACTGTGTTCAGGGTCGGGTCGTACCCAACATACCAAAACTGGATCGCGTCGCCATCGCCCCCAGAGGCAATAGGTTGGAACGTAGGGTTTGCGGCACAGTTTGCTCGGATGAACTTCAATATCTGGAATGTCGAGGTATGGTAAAATAGAGCGTACTTCCGCAGTCCCACGCCAAGGTTGAAGTGGGGGAGCAATAGGCTGCAGCTGCGTAAAACGTGAACGGCTTGAAGCTGGCGATGTTGGCTGCGGTTAGACTCGTGATCGCCTGACGCGCAACCAGAGAAGGAGCCGCTGAAGCAACCGAAGCCAGAGTCAAGAAAATCGCAGCGAGGCGCGCCATTGCGGGTATGGGTGGCTGGGAGACTGTCGAACGTTGGAAGAACACGACTTATGTAGGCTGCCCGTGGAGCTTATTTTCGTCTGAGCGACCCGTCCGCGTTGGTGATCTGATACAGAAGTGATCAAAGCGAGTAAAGAACAAGCCATGCAAATGTTGCCAACATGAAATGCAGGAGTGGATGGTTCGGTGGTGGAGGGAAGCATGATGCTCGATATGCAAGATCCAGTTTCAGACTTTGCTATGTACCCCTTGCCCCAGTGCCGTTTTATCGCCGCGCGTGTTTCCAAGATGTTTGCGCACTTGCGTTTCTTTTCCTAATCATGGAACATCCAGTTGGACTTTGTGTTGATGTAATCGTCAGTGGCGCTTGCGTGCCTCCGGTTCACTTCTGACTGTCGTCGTCAGTCCGACTCCACGAGGTGTACAACAGTCGAGTTGGACATGTGGGCGGCGTGCACATGAATGCGCGGTCACGGGGATCAGGTCACGAAGTGTGATTGATCGAAGCCAGGTGGAGGCCGCCAACATGGAGTCCAAGATGCAAAAGAATGGCTCGGATCACGCTGGATAGGCGGCGGGGCGCCAGTGTCGATCCGACAGAACCGACGTTCCTCGTCGGGTGACTGCTCTCATGCTCGTCGCGGCCTCAAAAAACGTCCTGGACGCTCCTTCTTGCCAATGTGACGCTGCATCTCATCCCCGAGCGCCCTGCCACTGGACCCGGGGGGTTATATACATGCATTCCAGTCAGGAAGTTTCCCCGCATCCACAGAATGCTCGCCGTTGCACTTGCCCTGCGGTCCACTCTCATTTCGGCATGCCTTCTCCCTGCCGTGCTTGCTAGCCTGCCTGGACTGCCTAGCAAAATTTACGGCGTGAATTTAGGCTCATGGCTCGTCCTCGAGTCGTGGATGCTGCCACAAGGTCCAGTTTTGTACCAAGTCTTGGTCGATGCTCACATTGCACAGAGTGGTTGGACATGGGAGGCCAGCAATGCGACGAATGCTCCAGCTGCATTGCTACCGAATTGTGTGTAACTTAGCAATGTCGCGCGTTTTGTCTTGCTCACAGTTTACGATTCATAGTGCATTCGCTAAGGCGTTTCCAGACACCGTGGACAAGAAATTCGAGGAACATTGGTTAGATCGTGCTTCGTCGAAAATTGTGTTTGACCTGACAATGATATGTAATTTGTAGGTTGTCGTGGTTCAACGAGGACGATGTCAACGCTCTAGTTGATGCCGGAATCAACACCGTCCGGATTCCGGTGAGCTTCAAAGGGAGTCATTCGCAGTGATGTTTCCTTATGGTTCTCAGCTCGGCTACTGGATCGTCGAGGCTTTAGTCGATCGGAAAACCGAATTCTATCCGCGAGGCGGTCTTACCCAGCTGGTAAGTTGAAATGACATGTATAACATGTAATGTAATTTCGCGCAGCGGCGTGGACTGCAGCTTCTTCACAACGCAGGAATTGTTGCCATCCTCGACCACCATGCTCTTCCAGGCGGGTTTTTTTCTGTAGTCGCTCCTTTAATCTAATTTATGACTTTTCACAGGTGTTCAAACGGCTGGGCAGATGTTTACTGGAAAGTGCGTTCATTTATTTGCACACAATCGTCCATGGATGACATACAACGCCGGACAGTTGTACAAGCGATGTGGAATTCTACGTAAATCGTGGTTCAATTTTTCTGCGCGGCGATCATGAAATCTTCATAGACTCCGTACAACTACCATCGCGCATTAATCTGGACCTCCGTTATGACCACTCTTTCGCATGTGGACACAGCATTCGCTAACGCTGTCGCCATCGAGGCGGTAAATGATTCCCTTCTTGAAAAGTATGAACATCGTTTTAACTCGTGCTAGGTAAACGAGCCTATCATGAACGCGGATCAGACACCCGACTACGGAGACTTCCAGAAGAACTTCGTCCGCGTTGTTCGAGCAACAGAATTCCTGCTGGGTGTCCCAACGCCCGGCTTCGGCGCAATGCCAGCGCCCGCAAACGGTAACTTCACCGCGATGCTTCCTCATGTTAGCGATTCCGCCCTGTTCACCGCGGAAGTGCGCTCGGTTTTGCAAGACACCGTCCCGATCCTCCTCCAGCTTGGAGTCATCGGTTTGTCGCACAGGAAGACCCCCCTCATCACGAAGTACATATACGCTTTCTCCTTTAGCCTTACAATAGATCTCACGTGGTCTCTAGTTTCATGGACATTAACTGGCAGTTCAACAATCCCGCTAATCCCGCCGACGCCCAAATTGGCCCTCAAGGATACGATAACCATCTGTATTACGTGTGAGCCTATCTCGCGTGGTCTCTTTCTGTTCTGACACTAGTCATAGGTTTGGGGTATGTATCGGTTTGCTGCTACAATATTGATTATTTACCTTGTGCAGGGAGTCGCTGATGCAAATCCGGATGCATACCTCACCAGCATATGCAGTATGTCGGCAACCAAGTTGCATATGTAGTGACGAGAACCGTGCTCCAGACCTCAACCGTATTCAAGCCGATGCGGCGCTCGGCGACAGTCCACTCTGGTTTGGAGGTTCGCATCTCTTATTTGCGAGACCTTTCGAGGCTCATGTCGTTTAAGAATGGGGACTGCCAACGCAGTTTGATGCTACAGATGACTTTTTATCCAAGTGGGCGGATGCTCAGAAACTGGCTTACAGCAAGGATGCTGGGTGGCTTGTGGGTTTTCTTCACGCGATTACTCCACTCTTCTGTTTGTTGAGTTTATTTTTACAGTTCTGGAACTTCAAGGTGGAGAAATCCGAGCTTGCCGGTAACCTCTCCAGGGAATGGTGCGCATGATACACAGAATGGAAGTTGGAAGTCGTCCTGACCGTGATATCGTTTGCGGCACAGGTCGTATCTGGAAGGCGTCAGACTTGGCTATTTCACGAAGGATCCGTCTCAAGTGCATAATGCGAGCGTGTGCGATCCTTACATTATCGCGTAAAAAGCAACGCACACCTTGGCTTGTTGTCACGAAATTTCTCTTTTTGGGAGCCTGTGTATTTGTAGTAACGAGTCTTCAAATTAGTTGGCGTGTCGGAGTTTCTTTTTTGTACTTGAGTTCCCTCATCCCAATTCATAAAATTGGGTCTGGAAAATCAATCTCGACTAGTATATCGGTTAGTACACGCGCTTGTCATGATGTGCCGCAATCTGTGCGCGCGAAAGCTGGGTTCGACTCCCAGGTCGAGAGTTTTTCCACTCTTTTTTCTTCTTCGGCATTTTTTTTTTTCATTTTCAAATCTCTCGTTACATCCAAGTTCTTAGTCTTTATTGGAGCAACGGTCGCATAACTGGAACTTGAGAAGGGTCATAGTCCTGACGTAATACGGCTGGCATAGCATGCATGCATCACGTCGTAATCAAAATCAAAAGGACACTTTCCTGGCCTAAAACCCGGTTAGCTACGTTCTCGAGGACGCACCATGGACAAGAATCTCCGGAACCCCGAGGCCAAATCAATTATTGTAAGGGCAGGGTGGCGATAATCTAATCCGTACCGAATTGCGGGACTCGGACTCGGTGTTACATGGAGTATGTACCTGGTACCTCTTTCCTGTTTCAAATCAATTTTTGAACAGTACGATAGAAACCTGTGCGACGTACTGGTTCTTGATTCGCGTCAGAAATATGTGCATCAACGCAGTTCGTATACACTTGACTATAGCTTGACTGCCCACCGGACTGGGTCAGTTGAATACGGACAAAAATGGAATGTCTGGAAACGAGTACCCTCGTCACGCAGTGAACGACCATCTTTGATTTGACCGAGGGCAGATGTCAATGGAAGATTAGTCTAATTGCGCCGGTGCGTCCCCTTAAATACCGAATGAGTCACAAGCTCGTGAAGGAAAATCAACTTCAAGGCAAGTTCATAGAAATGCTTTCGAACATGCTGAAACTTAAAGGAAAAGCCAACAAGTGTGGAACCGTTTAACCACAAGGTAGCACTCGCTGTACAATAGCCGGTCGCCACAAAGGGGTACGGTCGATATGTTCTGACTTGAGTTTTCGATATCACGATGACGCCTCAGTCTGCGCGGTGCTGGAGCTGATTCACTGAGAAGTACGAGGGCTGCGAGTATAATTTCGCCCAGCAGCGCCATGATTGTGAGCTAATTGGGGCAGAGTGGAAGGGCTGAGATCAGTACTCGTGTCAAGGGTTGGCCTTGTGGCTCAGGCCGCAAGCCTCGAGCTCACGGCCTGTGGGACACATACGTGCACGGTCGCTCCCTCCAGCCTTAGGGCACCGGCATAGAAGGTCTATGTTTATTTGGCCAGCTGTAGTAGTCAGGTCGTGCCCTCAGATGTCAAGCACCTCTGGAGCTCTTCGACAACACACGCAAGGTCCAAGAAGAGAGGTATGACAAGCCCAGGTGCCCAAAGGCTTCTAAGAGGTAGTGTACGGAGCACAGACGGCCGGGTCATGCACCTGAGAAGGATCCTTGGTGAGATACCCAAGTCTAACACCCTCCAGGTACGACCTGCGGGACACAGGTCAGTGCGACACACAGATATACTTCCACTGCGGGTCAAATACAATAAGCAAAGAGAGCGGAGTATTTCATCTCACAATCCATCCAGCATCCTTGCTGTAAGCGAGCTTCTGAGCATCCGCCCACTTGCATAAGAAATCGTCCGTTGCATTGAAATTCGTTGCCAGTCCCCACTTTACACCGACATGAGTCTCTGGTTTCGGGTGCATCAAAAAAATCCTACCTCCAAACCAGAGCGGGCTGTTACCTTTCGCCGCATCGGCTTGAACGCGGTTGAGGTCTGGAACACGGTTCTCGTCGCAAGTTCGGAATGCAGCTTGATCGTCGACTCACTGCATGGTATGCATCCGGGTTCGGATCAGCGACACCCTGAACATACGTAGGGTTAAGGTTAAGACAACATCAAATTCAATATCTATAAACTGTCCTCAACGTCAGCATTAAGAATAGGCAGTTTGAAAACACGCACTTGTAGTACAAGTGGTTATCGTATCCCTGAGGGCCAATTTGGGCGTCGGCGGGATTAGCAGGATTGTTATACTGCCAATTGATGTCCATAAAACTATAGCGGCCACGTCAAGTCAATCTAAGCAGTAAAAAATGCATATACTTGGTGACGAGTGGTGTCTGCTTGGAAGATACACTTGCGATGATCCCAAGCTCCAGAAGGATTGGAACGGTGTCTTGCAAAACCGAGAATACTTCCGGGATAAAAACGGCAGAATCGCTGATATGAGCAAGCATCGCGGTGAAGTTACGACCATTTGCGGCGCCGGCAATGCACCGAATCCGGGCGTTGGAACATCCAGCAGGAACTCTGTTGCTCGGACGACGCGAACGAAGTCTTTTTGGAAGTTCCCATAGTTTGGCGTTTCACTTGCATTCATAATAGGTTCATTGACCTGACACGAGTTAAGTAGACCCGATATAAAATGAACAAGTTTTTCATCGCCTCAATGGTGACTACGCTGGCGAATGCCGGATCTATGTGCGATAGAGTGGTCATAACGGAGGTCCAAATCAATGCACGATGATAGTTGTACGGCGTCTGCGTACCGTCGGCGGGAAGTGCAAGGTTGATTTTGTGTTTTGATTTTGTGCTTTGGTCGGCGTTTCGGCGGTTCGGCTCCATTGTGTCCGAATATAGCAATATGATGCCATCATCTCAGCTGTTCCTCCGTCTGCCCACCGCCTGTGCTTTCGACAATGCATCACGGCCGCTGCATCACGGCGATGCACATCGCCCGCCCGCGCCCGCGTCTGCTTCCTGCTCGCCTCCGGCGCCTCACGGTGCGCTCGTTGCTGCGGGCCGCCTTGCCGCTGTGGCCCGCCTCGCCGCCGCCGCCCGCCATCGCTGTCTCCACTACCCAACTCTCATTGAGCGCGAAACTCCGTATTTGATTGAAACTCGTTTGGTCTCTACAGTACATCCCATCCGCCTTGAACCTCGACAGTCAGTTGGTATTCTCTTTTGACCAATCATTTGTTTATTGTTTTTGACAGCTCTCTTCATATCGCAGGCTTGGCTGGTCAAGATTGTCGAGGGTGATATCCCCTCTGTCTCCGCTGGGATTTCGGACGACCAGCAGGCCTGCAGGTTGATGCGCACGTGAACGGCATCACTTCCTCTCCTCTTCAGTCAAGTAACTAAGCTTCGTGGTACTTCAGGTCTCGGTGGCATGGCCAAGAGCAAATTAGCTGCTACTGTCGACACTTTCATCCACTTCACCTACCTCTACAGCCAGAAGATGATGGTACTCTGCGATGTTCAAAGTAAGTTTTTCTTGACTGTCCACTGTGCCAACTTTTCCAGCCTGCTTTCAGCAATGAACCAGCGTATCGACAGCTGGGTCATGAATGTTATTTTCAACCCTATGGTTCACTCTCCGGCCGGGTGAGCACTCTTAGTTCTTAATTCCTTTTCATAAGTTGGGAGACCTGATTTTTACTTGAAACAGTGAACCGCGGCCCCTGCGACCTGGACCACGGCAACGGCTGTAACGTCAAGTGCAGGTCCCTGCGTCTTGAGGTGTTGTCAATGGGGGACTCAGATGACGAGTAGTGTATTATTTTACCTGTCTTTTTGCTCAGTATGCATTCTGTTTCCCACTGAGGTCTTTGTGTGTCTCTAGTTACGAGCTGGAGCAATGAATTAGTTAGAATAGGTAATACAATGCAGTGCTATGGAGTAGTATGGACATCTCGAGCGCGAAGAAGTGTACAAACACGCTGAGCCCCGGTGCTGTACACACTGAATGTCCTCGAGCGCGGGGCAGGAGCCCACCGTGCTTGACGAAGAGCATACGAAGGCGCGGGAGCGCCGGCGTGTCGGGGCCATGCGCAAGTGACAGCAGCGAGAGTACGGCGTTGGTGAGCGACAGTGTGACGAGGTTGCGCGCGGATGCGAGCCTGCGCAAGCTGTCGATGCCCGGGATGCGCTGCCCAAGCCAAGTGATTATGAGGTGGCTCCATGGGAGGCACAGCACCGCTTTCCAGTTCCCGGTTGTGGCGATTCAGACGCTATGAGCTGTGGCGCCTCCATCAACGCAGTTCACTGCCGACTCCCAACCGATCACCATATTCAGCGCTAGCATGCCGACTCGGAGTCGTCCGCGTGTGCTGTTCAGTACGGGCAGCATGCGCACGCCCACTTGCAGCTCCGCATCGGTCCGTCCAGTGCTCGAGCGGGCCCAGCATGGCGCTGTCCGCGGCCGTGACATGCACCGACAGCTCGCGCCCGCGGGCATACCGCCGCTGATGTGCGTTCAGATCGGCGGCGGGGCGGCCCGCAGCAAAGAGGAGGCGGGGTGCAGGCGGCGGCGCCGGAGGCGAGCAGGAAGCAGACGCGGGGGCGAGCGGGAGGCGGACAAGGCGGGGGCGGCGGTGACGGCGTCGGCAACAGCACAGGCAGTGGGCGGCCGGCAGACCGAGCGGAGCAAACAGCTGAGATGATGGCATCATTGCTGCTATATTCGGACACAATGGAGCCGAACCGCCGAAACGCCGACCAAAGCACAAAATCAAAACACAAAATCAACCTTGCACTTCCCGCCGACGGTATCTGCGTCGAGATCATAACTTATTGCCGCACATGGATTTGAATCCGGACTTACGTAGAATTCGACATCGTTTACACAACTGTCCGCATGCCATCGGTGGGGAATTCGTGCGAATCAGAAAACGTACTTTCCGGTGAACATCTGCCCAAGCCGTTTGAACTCCTGTAAAAATCATAAATCACAATAAAGAAACGTCTACGGGAAAAAACCCGCCTGGAAGAGCATAGTGGTCGAGGATCACAACAATTCCGACATTGTGAAGAAGCTGTAGTCCACGCCGCTGCGCGAAATTACATCATATGTTATGCATGACATTTCAACTTACCAGCTGGGCAAGTCCGCCTCGCGGATAGAATTTGGTTTTTGGTCGACTAAAGCCTCGATGATCCAGTAGCCAAGCTGAGAACCATAAGGAAACATCACTGCGAATGCTTCCTCTTGCAGCTCACCGGAATCCGGACGGCGTTGATTCCGGTATCAACTACTTAGAGCGTTGACATCGTCCTCGTTGAACCACGACGACCTACTACAAATTATGTCAAACACAATAAGCACGATCTCACCAATGTTCCTGTCCACGGTGTCTGGAAACGCCTTGGCAAATGCACTGTAATCGAAAACGATGAGCAAGAAAAACG